CTGGACATAGAATTCCTAGTTTATATGTTTTTTTTTTTCCTGGTCAGTGCTTTGAACACAGCCTTTGACTGTCTTCTGTCCTCCATCATTTTTAATGAGGAATTAATCTTATTTGTATTGTCATTTCCCATACATGATGAGTCCTCCTTCTCTTGCTGCTTTCAAGATTTTCCTCTTTGTTTGGCTTTTATATTAACTTAGCAGTTTTACTAAGTTGTATCTAGGTGTATCTCTTTATGTTTTTACTTTGGGTTTCTTGAACTTCTTGGAGCTATGGGTTAATGTTTTCATCAAATTTGAGAAATTTTTCACCAATTATTTTCTGAAACATAGTTGGTTGAAAACTATATATTTTATTTTACTTATTTTTTGAAAACTACATTTTAGTTAACAGATTATAACAATTCTGGGTTCTGTTTTATTTATATTTGTTTGTTAGCTTATTTATTGAAGGCTGCTTATTTTTTAGAAGGTTGCCTGTACTTTAATTGTGAAGTCAGTCTAGTCTCCTTTGTGGTAAGAGCCAGTTTTCAACCCTTCCTTGGCTTCATTTTTTTTTTTAAGATTTTATTTTTAAGTAATTTTTTAGTATTAAGTATTTTAAGTATTTTTAAGTAATCTTTACACCCAAAGTGAGGCTCAAACTCACAACCCTGAGATCAAGAGTCACATATTCTACTGACTGAGCCAGCCAGGTGCCCGCCATGGTTTCATTTGTCTCCCCAACAAATACATAGCTTTCTGTTTAGCCAGAGTTGTATGGTAAGCTTATCATAGACCTTCTATGGTTTTCTTATTTACATGATCTTTCTGTTAATTTTCTGACTAGTCAGACATTCACATTAACCAGGACTTCAACTTCAGACTCCAACTTCAAATTTTCCCTGTTCATTCCCAAAAAAGTCTATCACTTTTATCCACCAAAAGCATGGGTTTTCATCTCCCCCCACCCTGAAATGAGTGCACCCTTTTTGCCAACAAAGCTATTAGGTTCTTTTTGCTAGTTCATATTGACAGAACTGCCATTCTCATTATTTAGGCTCACATTGGGTTGTTGGGAGCAACCACAGGCAGAAGGACACAACATCCCACTGTTCTTACCTGTATCTTTAGCATTTATTCTAGAACAAACACTTCTCAATTTGCAGGCTGACTTTGCTTAGTTTCCAGTGTTCTGAAATGGTTCTTTTTGATAGATTTGTCCAGCTTTATACTTGATATTTGTGTATGGGAATTGCCAACCCCTTCATGCCTCTATAAAACTTGTACATTTTTTTTTTGCAGGTGAATTTTACATTTAATTACAAGCTTCCTAAGAAGTTCTTTTCGTATTTTGACTAGATCTACATTGACTTTATACATTAATTTTCAGAATATCAATATATTTACATTAATACAATATATTACATGTTCCTCCTGGAACATGATATTTATCTCCATTTATTTGGACTTATCCCTCAACAAAATTATTGTTATTATTATTATTTTTTTAGAGAGACAGAGAGCATGCACTCAAGTGGCGGGAGGGGCAAAGGGAGAGGGAGAGAGGGGATCTTAAGCAGGCTCCACGCCCCATGCCACTCAGTCTCATGACCCTGATCATGACCTGAACCGAAATCAAGAGCTGGACGCTTAACTGACTGAATTACCCAGGTCTCCTCTCAGCAAAATTATTTAACATACATCTAGGACTTACTCATATTTTGTTAAGCTTATTCTTAGCATTTTGAAATTTTTTTAATCAATTACTAATGAAATGATTTTTTTCATTGTATTTTTCTGTTTATTGCCAGTTTGTAGAAAGGTTAGTTTTTATGAATTCATATAAAGTTGATCTTTTATATGATTGCCTTGCTGAACTTACTTTTCTAATAGTTCTGTTTGTCAGTTTCTTATTTCAGTTCTTTTAGGTAATCTACCATATTATTTGCAAATAATGACAATTTTATTTACTTACAATCTGTATTCATATTTTTATATTTATTTTTAAATAGATATATTATATCTTAGATATATTATTTTTAAATAGATATATTCATATGTATAATTTTTAAATATACATGAAATTTACATTTATTCTAAAAATTCTGTGATATAGGTTATGATCTCTAGGAAAGTGATAAGATATTAAACATAGTGGCTTTAGTGACTTTGTTAGAAATATTTCTAGTGCTTCACCATGAAGTGTGACGTTGTAGGAGTCCTTTTATTAAGCTAAAATTTTTCTTTTATTCCTAGTATCAACTGATGTTTTGGCATGTACTAAGATCATAATGTTTTTCTCTTTTGACTTCCTAATATTGTAAATAAGAAATGCGCTATTTAATACAGATGTATTATAATTTTAATATTTCCCTCGGTTCAGTTTGCTAATATTTTATTTATGATTTGTACATGTAATTCATAATAGAGATTTGCTTACAAAGAACATTGACTTAATGAAGCAGACATTCATTCCAAATTAAAAGATTTCCCCTTTTCAGGAATCTGGTTTAGGACCTGTTCTTATCCTCCTATTATTTACATTTACTGTCTATATTAAAATAATAATCCACACTTAATGGCATCCTTCTTGTTTTTAGTAGCACAGAGTTCTTAAAATCCAGTTTCTTCATATGTGATGATTATTTTTCTAGCTTTCTGAGTTTTTATGTTACTGTACAGTCCTCCTTTAAAAAGTGCTATGTTTCTTATATTGTATTTTTTAATAAAAGAATTTCAAAGATTAATATTTATCTTTTTCTTTGACATAGTCTTTTTCCTTTTATTATAATGAATTTTGTGATATTCTTCATTTTTTTCTCTTCATTCTAGTCTCTCTGTCACCTATTCAGTGAAGCCTTTTTTGGTCCCTCCTCTTCCTTTTTAGTCCCTGAAGGGTTAGACCTTTTTTGTTTCTTATTTGGCTTATTATAAATTGTGTGTGTGTGTGTGTGTGTGTGTGTGTGTGTGTGTATAGTTTTCTTAATTACATCTTTACTATAATATCATAATTTTCCTGTTACTTTTTGGTATAAGGACAGTCTCATTTTTGGTAATTAAGACTTAGTGTTACACATTTTTAAAAGCTTTTCAAAATTCACTCCCTTTGTAGGGATTATGAGGGACTGAGGGTGTTCTGAATCTACATACTTTTTCCTTCTTCCATCTGTTGGGGCAGAGAGGAAGCAGGAAAAAAAGCAAACATATCATTAAACTGGGTGCAGTTGTCATCTTCTTTTAGGTTGTGGCTGCCTTTGGCTAACACTGACAGCTCATCATGCACTGTTGTCAGGCAATTAAAGTCTGGCTCATTGCCACAGATTCTTCTGGCCCAACCTATTGGCAGCTCACTGGCAACTCTCTGAACTTAGAATATGTAAAAGTAACTATCTTTTGTGCTTAGTTTTGGCCTTATGTGCAATTCTGGGACTATAGGAAACTCCTGTTCAGTAATCCATGAGGCTTATTTTAAAGTCAGTGTTCCACAGTCCAATTGGAAAATAACAGTCTTCCAGAACAGGGTATTAGGTCATGCAGATATTATAGAACACCTCTTTTTTTTTTTTTTTAAGGTTTTATTTATTTATTTGACAGACAGAGATCACAAGTAGGCAGAGAGGCAGGCAGAGAGAGAGAGAGGGAAACAGGCTCCCTGCTGAGAGGGAAGCAGGCTCCAATGTGGGGCTCAATCCCAGGACCATGGGACCATGGGACCATGACCCAGGCGGAAGGCAGAGGCTTTAACCCACTGAGCCACTCAGGCACCCCTACAGAACACTTCTTTAGTGCAGTTTCATACCTATGTTTATTTTGTATCCTGAAGTAATTCAGCATCTAGGAAACTTCATCCCAATGTATTATTCTAGAGCTGTGTTAAATGTACTATTTAAATGTAAATTAATTTAAATTTACATCAGTGAAACTAAAAAAATAAATTAGCTTTTCAGTCACATCAGCCACATTTTAAGTTCTTAATTAGCCATATGTGGTGAGTGGCTGCTGTGTTGAATGGCACAAAACATTGCCGTCACTGAGAAAAGTTGTTAGACACTGCTTCTCCAGAGGATAGAGGTGAGAATATTTTTGTTACCACAGGAAAGTCAGATACGTAGAGTCAATCATATACACCAACTAGTTGCTCTTTCACAGGGTTTTTTCCGCGCCCATATGAAGGAAGTTTGGGAAAGGGAGAAAAAGCACACTCCTGTACAATGTACTGCTTCCAAATTCATCTGATAATTAGCTTTTCTTGTGGAAGCTTCAAATAACTGCTATTGCAAATGCAGTTGGCAGCAGCATTCAAAGTTCAAACCCACCAGAGACACACTTACTAGTTTATCCTTCCCATTTCCTTTCTTACTATTCCCTCATTCCTTAAGGTGAAGATTGGCACAACTTCAGTCCCAAGACAAGAGAACACTGGCATAAGTAGAAAAGCAAATGTGGGGGCACCTGGGTGGCTCAGTGGGTTAAAGCCTCTGCCTTTGGCGCAGGTCATGATCTCAGGGTCCTGGGATCGAGCCCCGTATTGGGTGCTCTGTTCAGTGGGGAGCCTTCCTCCCCGTCTCTCTGTGCCTGCCTCTCTGCCTACTTATGATTTCTGTCTGTCAAATAAGTAAATAAAATCTAAAAAAAAAAAGAAAGGCGAATGTGTGTGAATGTAAATTTTGGGAGAACTGACTTGATTTTTAGAAAATGTTTTTTTAACCAAGCCTTTAGATATCATTTAATTGAATGCCTGCCTCCATTTTGCATGTGAGTAAACTGAGGCTAGAGAAAATGATTGCTCAAGATTGTATTAATAATTAATAGTAAATCTGGAACTAAAACCTGTATTCCATGACATGCTAAATCATTTACCATTCCCATTTTAAGTTTTTATTCACTACTACTACTACTGCTACAGATACAATGATAAGAGTTTAGAGGTAAGACTAATTAATTATTATAATAAATTTCTTATTTTTAAAATACGACATTTTGCATGTTTTAAGTTTTTATAATTGTAATTTTTATAGATTGAAGAAGAGGAGAGGAAAAAAATAGAAAATATGAAAGAAAATGAACGACTAAAAGCAACTAAAGAGTTGGAAGCCTGGAAAGAATGTCAAAGAAAAGCTGAAGAACAAAAAAGAATTCAGAGAGAAGAGAAATTCTGTGAACAAGGAAAGCAAGTTGGAGAAGAGAGAACCAAATTAAAACATAAAAGCCTTACTAGAATTGCAGCATCTAGAAATCTTGCCACAAAAGGTACAATGATTTCTTTATATTTTCTGGGAAAGTGAGTCCATTACTTTTTTTTCCGTAATCTATTTATAATATTAGGTCATTATTTCGGCATATTGAGAATAAGTACTATAGTATAGAGGCTAAGGTGAAAGATTTAATTTCTTCTTTTAGTAAGTAGTGACATTTTCAAGAGAGAGTGAGCAATGATTCAGATGCCAGGGTCCTGAGATAGAGCCCCACATCTGGCTCCTTGCTCATAGGAGCTTACTTCTCCATCTGCCTGCCGCTCCCCCTGCTTGTGCTCTCATTCTCTCTCTCTCTGACAAATAATTAAAATATTTTTTAAAAAAGCCATTTTCCTCATATGATTGAGGAACATGAATACTATTACACAAATTTAGTCGTAAGCAAATAGTGGCTCGTCTGGCCTTTGATCCTGATGTGTTCAGAAATAGGTAAAAGCACATATTTCTTTATTGAAAGCTAAGAGTTTGATTTTATCTGAATTTAGAATAGTAAACTTTGTTTTGGGAATATTTAGCATCTTTAGTAATGGAATATTTTGTTGTAAAATCACTATGTAATAATAATAATTAACAATTATTGGGTGATTTCCCTATGCCAGGCAATTATATTGGTTGTATCATGCAGTTGTCACAACACTTTGGGATAAGTGCTGCTATTCTTATTTTAGTGGAAATAGGTGTTCAGAAAAGATAAAAACTACCCAATAAGTAAACCTGTGGGATTTGAACCCACATCTCTCTGCATCTGAAACCTATGCTCTAGGCTTTACTACTGTACTCTAGGCCTTTACTACTGTAAGCTCTCAAGATCTAGTGTGTTGGAAAGTCAATAAATGAACTTGTGAGTTAGGAACCATGCTTATCCCCATTTTCCAGGTGAGGAAAGGCACAGAGAGTCTTACTAGCCCAAAGTAACACTGCTAATAAATGGCAGAGTCAGAATTTGGACGTGGGTGATCAGGCTTTAGAATAGGTGACCACCACTGTGTTATACTGCTACACAGGTAAGATAGGCAGATTAACCATGTTCATTATCTAATTCATAACATATTTTAGCTGACTGTTTGTATTAGGAAGATGTTTTCACTCAGAAATGTGTTAGGGGAAAAAGTGCACAAAGTATATAATCCTGGTTTGGAACAGTATTACCTTTTAAATGTTTGTTATTGAGCATCCCAAAGCCTTACAGTAATTTTCAAGAATGAATCGGTTTGTGCTTAACCAAAGTATTACTAACTATGAAGTAGCAAAACTTCAGAAGTTTTAATTACCAGTCCCCTAATATAAGGCACACCCCACTAATTTTATCTCTTAATGTAAAGCTAGGTGTCAGGCTATAGCACGATTACTTTGCAGGGCAGAGGAATTAAATGTGCTGTAGGCTTCATACTCTTCTGGACCTAGAACTTAAATATTGAGCAGTGTCATTTTGATGAAAACTGCTTAATATTTTATATTAAGGTGATTTAACAGGCAAAAAAATTTGATAAGATTTTATGTGATTTTAAAAATCAACTTAAATGTTTGGAGTTTGGATTATTACACTCTTATTTTTTGGCACATCAACAAGTAAGACTCATAATGTATAATAAGAATATATGTAATATATTAGATAAGCAACTTTTATATATACTATTACAATAATATAATAGATAAGCCACTTTTTATATACAGAATGCAAATGGTGTGGCAGGTGCTGCAGATTTCCTTCTCAATATATATTCTCCCTTTCTTTTTTACTAACAGAATCATGGTTTCAGGGAAGGGACAGAAGAAATGTGTTCAGCTAAAAACCTTGCCTTTTAGGAATTTAAATACCAGTTGGATATTTGAAGAAATTAAAGAATAATTACACTTTTTCCCTTAAGATGTGATAATGTAATTGTAGTTAGATTTAGAAAGCCCTTATCTCAGAGAGATACCTACTGAGATATTTATGGATTGAAAGTATAGTATTTGATATCTGAGATTCTCTTCAAAATAATATGGTATGTGAAAGTAGATAGAAATAAAGATGAAGTGATATGGGCCAGGAGTTGATAATTGAAGGCAGGTTATGAATGCATGACAGTTAATTATTCTATTCTGTCTACTTTTATATATGTTTGAAATTTTTTATTATTAAGAAATAGGGAACACATTGAAAAAGCACTTTATCTTGGAACACTGAAAAAATAAAAATTTTAAAAAAAGAAAAGAAAAGAAAAAGCACACATTGAAATTTTTACAAAGTCATTTTAAATTAGTAAAACAAAACAAAACCAAGCAAAACTCACTTCCCCAAACTCTTGTATAACTAGATGTAGCCAGGTGACAAATTTTGAGGAAATGCAAGAAGAAATCTGCTAAAAATTTATAGAAAAGTATTACTCCTTACTGCTTGCTTCTCCTTTCCTTTTCCTACCTAAGATGAAGGTCAGTGCAAAAAATTCATTAGCTATTTTAAAACCACAACGAGGCAAGACATACCCTAAGAATGATGGAATAGGGGGAGAAGAAAGAGCTTGGGACATTAATGACATTGGAAAGATGGTACCTCTGCATTGAATCATCTTTTTTCAAGCTTGTTAAGTGAGAAAATAAACCCATCCTTGGTTAAACAACTATAGTCATGTTTTCACACAGCCTAGAGAATTTTTGACTGATAGAAATGGATAATGGAATTCAAGGTTGGTTTAGCATTCGAAAATCATTCCATGTACTAACAGAGTAAAGGAAAAAACATATGACCATTTCTCTATTGCAGAAGGCATTTGATAAAACCCAACACCCATTTATGAAAATAATTTCTCAACAAATTAGGAATAGAAAGGTACTTTCTTACTCTGGTGAGTAAGAGTGTACAAAAAATGTATAGTAAGCTTCATATTTATTGATGAATACTTTGCCTTGTCCTGTAGTTCCAGGAGTAGGCAAGTATGTCTACTTTCACTGTTTCAATTCAACATTATGCTGGAAGTCCTAACCATTACATTAAGACAAGAAGAAATGAGAGGCATAAAGATTAGACAGGAAGAAGTAAAACTGTATTTATAGATGACATGATTGTGTATTTCCTGATAGGGATTTCCTGAGAAATCTGAAGGATAACTGCTAGAACTAATAACTGAATTTAGCTAAGTCTCATGATATAAGGCTATAAAAGTCACTTAAAATTTTATCAGCAGCAAACAACTGGAAAATTAAATTTTAATTAATTTGTAGTAGCACTAAAAGAGAAAATACTTAGGAATAAATTTAACAAAAGAAATGAAAGACCATATCTCTGAAACCTGTCAAAAAATTGCTGAGAGATGTTTTAAAGTCCTAAGTAAATGTAGTGATACAACATGTTCCTGAGTTGGAAAACTCAATATTGTTAGGATGTCTGTTCTTAAATTGATCTGTTGATTCAATGTAAATCCATTAGAAATTCTGGTAAGCTTTTTGTAGAAATTGACAAGTTGATCCTAAAATTTATATGAGAGTGTGAATGACCGAGGATGGTCAAAGGAACTTTTAAAAATAAGAACAGAGATATAGGGCTCACACTGCCTCATTTGAAGACTTAGCATCAAGCTACCATAATCAAGACAAGATGGAATTGGTGAAAGGACAAGGATAAGTTCAAAACAACAGAGTACAGGGACCAGAAATGAATTTATACAAGTATGGTTCAGTGATTTTAATGAAAGGTAATAAGGGGGGAAAGGAACAGGTCAGGATACATTTATGGAAACAAATGAAAGTAGACTCTTGCCTCACTACACAGTGAGACAGTTATGTACATATGTACATAATACCTATGTAAGAAGACAACCCAATAAACAATTGGATGGAAGATTTTAATGGTTTTGTCACAGTGGAAGACATGAACAACCAACAGGCACATAAGATGATGTTCAACGTTATTCGTTAGTAGGGAAATGCAGATTAAAACCACAGTGAGATACAGTCCATAGTACATATGCATTAAAATGACTAAAACTGGGTGCCTGGGTGGCTCAGCCAGTTAAGCATCTGCCTTCAGCTCAGGTCATGATCTGAGGGTCCTGGGTTCAAGTCCCACATCAGGCTCCTTGCTTAGCTGGGTGCCTGCTTCTCCCTCTTCTCTGCTGCTCACTCTACTTGTGCTCTTTCTCTCTCACAAATAGATAAGTAAAATCTTTAAAGAAAAATAAAATGACTAAAACAGAAAACTAAAGATCATCAGCACAATTGTTGTTGAGGAAATGCTGCAAGTATACACTGATGGTAGAAATGTAAAATGGTACAAAGACTTTGGAAGAGTGTTTGGCTCTTCCCTTAAAAGTTAAGTATGCACTTATCATATAACTCAGTCTTTCTTGTCTTCAGTGTTTATACGTGAGAGATGTATTCACCTGAAGACTTGTATTCAAATATTCATGGCAACCTCATTCATAATAGTGAGTAACTGGAAATGATGCTCATCACTAGATGAGTGAATAAACAAATTCTCATAGATTCATAAAGTGAAATATTACTCTGCAACAAAAGAGACTGCAACAGTTCATAATATGAAATTCTAGAAAATACCAACCACTTTATAATGACTGAGATTATATCAATTGTTATCTGGGACCAGAAGTAAAAGGAAAGGACTATAGGGGACTCTTAGAAGTGATAGAAATTTTCCATTTTCATTATGATTATAATTTCATGGGTACATACATCTATCAGAACTCATTGAATTAATGTACTTTAAAATGAATACAGTTTATTTTTTTTAAGATTTATTTTAGAGAGAGAGTGCAAGCACATGCGGGTATGGGAGTGCTGGGGGAGGGGCAGGGAGGGAGAGGAAGAAAATCTCAGGTAGACTCCCTACTGAGTATGGAGCCCAACATGGGGCTTTATCTCAGGACCCTGAGATCATGACCTGAGTGGAAACTAAGAGTTGGACATCTAACTAACTGGGGCACCCAGGTGCCCCATTTTATTTCATGTACATTTTATTATACATGAATTATTTCTTTGTAAAACTGAATAAAGTTT